CACCCCCCCTCTGTAATCTGACCTAATCTAACATTTTAAACTGTACATTTTACCTTTTATATATATATATATTTATATATATAAGTTAATATATTATTTGTTGTATGTATATATGTTGTATGTATATCTGGAGTTGTAATTTCCCCCTGGGATTATTAAAGTATTTCTGATTCTGATTCTGATAATATTCATAGCTATGTTTTCATTAGTGTATAATCAATTGAATATATGAATCGTTGTGTTTTTGTTACCTTAGAATGAGCCATTTTCATGTTTCTACAGTAGCCCAGAACAGTGAAACTAAACTCTGGCTCTAGTTAGGGCCTTTTACAAGTTCATGGCCACCGTAGTTTCTTGGAAGGCAAGCTGTATAGAGTTGGTTTGCAACTTCACCGCTAGATGCCACTAAATCCTACACAGTGGTCCTTTAACAAAATCATAGATGTGCATTATTATTGCATTTACAACTTAATGTAAAACATATATACGAATCCTGGAATCGGTCTGTGTGTTCCACCATCTACTGGCGTAGCCATCACTGCGGTGGCAAGTTGTGGTGACTCTGTGACTGCCTGCTGAGAGCAGCATGGGTCGTTAGATTGATGACGTTACGCAGTGGCCCCAGTTTCTGACAAAGGTACCTTATTTGGATGGTGATCCAAGCGGACAAGTTATATCTTGGTCCTCTATCTATGCAAAGTGCATAGTCTCATCTTTTCCCGTTCAGTGTGTAGGATTTAGTGGCATCTAACATTGCAGATTAAAACCACCTAAAAGCCTTTAACTCAACCAAATGCGAAAGAGAAACTATGGTGGCTGTTTTTTAGGCTACTGTAGGAACATGATGGTTCAACATGAAGGCGACCCGCAGCATCTTTAGATAAAAACAGCTTATTCTAAGGTAATGAAAACACAACAATTCCTATTTTCAGGTGATTATATACTAATGAAAACATACCTATGAATATTATTTCCCATTTCTGACAATAGATCCTCCTAAATGTTACATACTGGACCTTTAAGTAACGTTCAAGTAATTTTCATCCAGTGAAATTGACCCACATCAGCCCAATAAAAGATGTGATGTCTTGGCTCAGATGTAGAGGATTAATACATATTAAGAATAGAATAATCACAAACTGTACACACTGTATTAGAGTGATGTTGCAGTTTTTATCTGCTAGTGTAATATTGGACTAATCATGGTGATCCCACACAGCTAGAGTAACAAAAAATGTCCATTTCCAAACAAAGTGCATCATTGCTTCAATTGTAGACTCTCCATAGCTGTAGAGAAAGCCCAATGATAATGTTACAAACAGACCTACCGTGTATGATCAAGGGACTTGATGTCTGCCATGTCAAAGACTGTGATAATGACTGGAAAAGATGAACAAGAAGTTTCAGCATAATTAGTTTACACTAGCTCAGCAGTAAACCGCTCTCCCCTAGCATCAGACATACAAGAGTAGAAGGTAATTTCACAGTGCAGAGTTGTATAATGAAATTCAGGTTGTATTCCCTTTATTCTACTTATATACAAATAATATATCTATATCTATACACACCAAAAAAACATTTAGGGTTAGGGTTACAACAACTTCTTACCCTGAGCGCCTCTGTAGTATGCTGAAGCGATGCACTTGAATTTTTCCTGCCCAGCTGTATCCCAGCTATTAAAAAAACAAAAAGTAAGCAAGAATGGCAAAAACACAAGGAACTCTAAAGTTATGTATGTGGGATAATGTCTTTAAAATCAAAACTACTCACATTTGAAGGGAGAACGGTACTCCAGATATCTCAAACCTCTCAATCTCAAAGTCCACACCTATGGTGGCCTTGTAGTCTCTTTCAAATACATCTTTACAAAACCTAACAACCGCAAAAACAAATCAAGTTTACAACAATCTCAGATCTGTTTATTAATCAGTTTCCTTTTTATTTATTTTTACTAAATTCATTAGCTTCATATAGGTGCAATCATTCAGTTCCATCAGAGAACTGTGTTCATACAGTATAGGCAAGAGACATTTTCCAAATTAAATTAACACTTGCAATATATTATGATATTATGTGGTATGTGTATCATGACTTATATCTGGGGTTTCCATCATTGGACACTCAAATCATAAAGATAAATCGGATTGTTTGTGAGATGATTTGCAGAATAGGAAAGCAGAAAACACTTCTGCTGCACAAAATGAGTCAGATCTTTTTATAATCTTTGCCCTTTGCTTGTAAATAACCAAACAATATATTACATCCTTAAGCCCTTAACAATATTCTAATAAAACAATCTAAAAAGGAAAAATGACTCTTCAGTTGTTGTTCAATTTTATTTTCATTTGTAAGAACTAAGACTAAAAAACTAACAAAGCTAATAGAACAATGACAAGAAAAAAAGTAAAAAAGTAAATAATCAGCTTAAAATTCATCCAAATCGCTGGTTTTACACAAACGTCCTGCAGTTATTGTGTTCACTGTTTGGGTTCATTGAACAGTGTATCAGGTGTTTCTCTATCTGTTAATTGTTATGCAGGTGAGATATTAATATGAAATATGCCATTAAAATATGTTCAGGGGTTGTAGGTTTTACGGATCTGATAGAAAAGCCGGTCCCTGAAGGTAAAAAGGGTTGGGAACCACTGGTATAGGTTATATCTGATATAGTACCTATTAATGAGGCAGGTCTTCCCCACATTAAGGTCTCCAACCACCACCACTTTTGACATTTTCTGTCGGTCCCACCTTTAAATAAGACAACAGATTTATCATCAGTACAATATAAATGTTTTTAATGTGATGTTCAAGCAAAGCTAAGAATAATGCATTGACCCTAAAAGTGGGAAACTCACGGCTGATGCCTGGCCGCTCTGTCTTTACAGGCTGCTTTAACCTGAAGGTCCCAGTCTTTCCTCGGCTGTAGAGAGGCCTCAGGTCTGTAGCACTGAAAAGAACAGGACCATATACTACTGCCATTTATTCTGAACAAAGCCACTGACTACATGTTATAATGACAAGCGGTTAAAACATTGCAGATGTACTGTTTTACCATGCTGACCATCTGGCGTTTAATGGTTGTACACACTTTACCCAATTGTAATATACATGGAAGTACAGCTGAGGTTTGAGGGAACACTCATAATTTTTGCAGGTATTTGGTAGGGACGTGCATTTCCATCACTGAGGCCAATGTCATCTTGGTGCACTGCCATTGTAGAGAGGAGAAATCTATCTAAATTTAAAATTATTGGTCACATACATTCTTAAATAAGAAAGGGCCTCTAAATATATATTATGAAATCAACAAATCATTTATTAGGAATCACTCCATCTAACTCTTCATTGCTATGCAGATGATTACCGCAGTGTATATCTATCAATCAAAGCCTGATGAAGATTAGATCAATACCGTATCTAATTACAAACATGTCTTAAGGACATAAAATCCTGGATGAGCTGCAATTTTCTGATGTAAACTCCAGGGAAAAACAACGAAATTCTTATACTTGGCCCCAAAAACCTCAGAGACTCACTTTCTAAAGATATAGCTACTGCTAGATTGGCGATTACCTTGGCCTCTAGTGCCACTTGGTCAGGAATCTTGGAGTTATCTTTTGATCAGGACTTGTCATGTGAACTTCCATATTAAAGCCAGGATTCTCTAGGACTGCCTTCTTCTTCGATTTACGTAATATTACTAAAATTGAGCACATCTTATGCACAGACAGATGCAGAAGAAAACTTAATCCATGCATTTTTACTTGCAGGCTGCGATTACTGCACACTTCTTTGTTATCAGGTTGCGCCAATAAGTCCATTAAGACGCTCCAATTTAATTCAAAACGCTGCAGCACGAGTAGCTGACAGGAACT